GTTAAGGTCTGAAAGCTGACCTGCTGCTTTCTAAAGACATGAACAAGCGGATGTAGTTTATCAGCCTTGTCACAGTTCTGTGGAAACCACCTTGACGGGATGTATTCATGAGCTGCAGATTTTGGAAAATGTGCCCCATTCCGATTTTACCGATACTTGATACCATTAGTATCTTTTCTGTGAGGAAGACGAAAGACATCTTGCCTTTGGCCATATTACAGATAGATCCAAAATCAGTTGGAGCTACACTGTGAGAAGCTTGATTAGGGGCTACAAAATAGTGGCTACATGGGAGACACAGAAGAAGGTATTCAACTTCAAAGTGTTGCTTCCAACCCCTATTTCAGCACAGAAATACCTCTGCAGGTATGGTAGCGGGGAGCATGAGCTTTCGGCTTTCAGCATTTGTTTTGCTGCTCTCACTCCCGAAACTCTGCAGCAGCTCTGCACAGGACATCCACACTGAGCAAGAGTATCTGTATGAAACAAAGCAGTGTGCTCTCTTCTCCCCCTTTCAGTATGAGCAGGAGGGAGACAAGCCCCACCACAGCGCCTGTGCTTCTCCCCACCTCAGGAGTTCCTTTCCCTTCGGCTCTGACACTTCCTGAGGATGCAGCATTCATGGGAGAGGTTGGCTTCAAGGGAAGTCATGATGGGGCAAAGGTGTTAGACCTGCTGTGGGGTTAGTAAGAATAACTGTGCACTCTGCTTGCAGAATGTTAGAGAGAAGTTTGTGCCAAGCAGCTGTAGTTTCTGGGGTGAAGATCAGGATTTTGTGGCGGTCTGACCTTTCTAACCCTTAACATCAAGGAAATAGGTACAGCAGATAGATGACCTTATGCAGGGGCGGTTCAAGGTAGCCCTGAGAAAGAACAAAGTCTTTGGAGGCCAAAAGATGGAATATGCTATCAGTTCAAAGAAAGCTACGAGACTCTTGAGAATGAAAGCACCTGTATAGTTTAGCTGTGATTTATAAATGTGGCAAAAATGAATGGTCTTGCTGTTGCCAATGTGTAAAGCTGGACAATCTCGGAGTCCTGCTATGCACGTGAACAGACTTTATACAGTCTGAAGGAAGAACAGTACTTGTACTTAACTCTGCATGAATGCTGTCAGAGCATTTAAATGCACTGAACAGAGGTACTTGGGTGTGGGGCCAGGCCTCGGCCAGCCGCCAAGCAGCTCTGTAGGCAAACAAAATTGGTAAGCCACAGAGAATAACGAGTGACTGTTATGTTTGTGCTTGCAAGCAGTTTTAGCTCATAAGAGCATATAGATGCTTTTCCTGTATAATGACCTTGCTTAAATAAGATGTCAAATATTTTCCATCCCTTGACTTTCATCCGTATTACTGAATTTCAGCACTTGCATCCATTCTACTTCGTGCTCTTGATTATTATTTTTTATTCCATAAGATTTATTTTCCTGGAAATAAAATATTACTGAACTATCACATGTGGCAAGCAACTCTCTGTTGAACTGAATGCAGGAAGCACAGTTTTAGTTTCAAGCTCCTCTTTTTGTCCCAATCTAAACAGTCTGGTTTATTACGAAATTTGCAAGTTCTGTATGGCATGGCTTTTTGGGGCCTGTTCCATCTTGATAATAAAATAATATTTTGCAGAAATTAAGTATAAGATATCCCATGACACTAAGGACGGTGGGCTCTGTTCCAGGAACATTTGTTTTCACGTTCTTACAGTGCTGGGTGACTGTAGCTGATACCTAGATACCTGGGGGGTTTTCATTCCTTATATGCTCACCACCAGAATTGTTCATGTTCTGCAGTGAATTATCTATGCATTATTAATCAAGCTCATTTCCTAACACTTCTGCCTACTCATGATCTCTTTTTATGAGTTCTGTAGTAACTTTTGTAATGATGCAAGCCAGTGATCTTATTTCATGCACTGGGGTACAAGACAATTATCATAATAGGGTTTAAAAAATGCTCTTTATACAGCATTGTGTAATTAACATTGTAATGCATTCTTTCTGCCTCCTTATTATTATTTTAGTTAAAAAGGACTTAGGGAATGACATCTTCATTTTTTACTCTGGTAAACAAAAAGTCCCCTAAAGTTATAAAGGGGTGTAAGAAACTTTACCTCAAAGATCAGTGTCCCAGAAATACATAAAAATTGACAGGAAGAACACCAACAGAACACCAGCTGTAGCAAAGCAAGGGACATGCAAGTGCTCTTAAAAATGCCTGTGTGGATTCCTCAGATCCTGCCAGAGGCTCCAGGTGGAACAGGAGAAGCTAGCAGAGGAAAACAAGCTCCATTTTACTTCAGGAATTAGAAAGGAGAAAGCTTGTGTGTGTGCGTATGTGCATGTGTGCCTCTGTCTCCCAAGAACACTGGCAAGAAATTATAGCAATCAATCCAAGTTATTTTGGAGAGAGGCAGTTGGGTTAAAAGAGCCTTTGCATAAAGCACTGAAATCTTTAAATATCTCATCATACAGCGCTATTGCTTACACTGAAGTCTCTTACATGCAAGACAGGTAATAGCAGTTACGTTAGTTCAGCTCCTGCATCTAGATTAATCTCTTATTTAAAAAGCTTGTTACTTGAAATGCAGTATTTTGCAGATACATATTTTAAAAAGCCAGCATCTTCAAACCTGAAAAACAAGATTTTAAAAGAAACAGCAATGTATGTTCTTGTGAGCATCTAAAGCTAATTAAGGTGGGACCCTCCCTTGCAGAGCTGAAGTTGGCAGCAGATCCTGGCATTTCTTGTCTTCCTATTGGACAAGGCAAAACTGTAAATCATCCTACTGCTTTCCCACAGAATAATTTGTTGCAATCTTGCCTTGGCAAAACTAATTAGGGAGACAGGTTAACCTTTGCCTTTAATGAAGACTGCTGGAAGCCTCCCATTTAAAATTAGAGCCTTGATATTCCCTTCATGTTTGCTATTTTGAAACCTACCTATCTAATTTTAAGTTTCACAGGTAGGAATGCAAACTGGCATAGAGACTTTACTTTTGTTCTTTTCTTAACCCAGTGCGCTGGAGTGAAACTGGAGATGTCTACAAACAGAAGGACTCTTCCATTTGCAACCACAGGTCTCAAGACCTCGTAAGTCGGAGCTCCCATAATGATCTTTTACGCAAGCAGATAAATATAGAAATAAACACAATTTGTCTTCAGTTTTGGCGCCCCTGTAGTATTTTGATGCCTCTCTAGTTTTTCAGGTGTCACTCTGCAGCTCTGGAAGTCTCATTTCTTGTTTGTGGAAGCTGACATTTACAGGGCTTATTTTGTTCCAGCAGGTGTTTTTTAAATAAATACAGCTGGCAGTGAAACGTTAGATGGAGTCTTGAGAGTCTGTGTCACGCCTCGCTAAGCAAGATAAGTCTGCCCAATTTGGTGTAAAGTTTTGCAGTCGCTGCGAGGCGAGAGGATTCTCAGCACCATATGCAAGCTGGTGCTTGCCAAGCCGTTGCCTAACAATACAATGCAGGCCTTAGCAAAACACGTAGGGGCCGAGGAAGCTTGCGTAGTCCTGATTCCTTATAAAAGATTGAGCCAGAGTTATAGGTTTATAAACTGCCTTGTCCCTGGGAGTGACAGGGGACTAGGTGTGGAAGAGGGGTGAGGCAAACTTCTGGAGCAAAGTGGTGAAGGAAACACGCTGAAGATCCCAGTCTACCCTGCAAGCTACGTCAGAATCCCCGTGCAATTTGCAGACTCCTTACAGTCTCCTGTCACTGTAAATTGTAAAGAACAATTTTAAAAGTTAACTTGACGCCTGAAGAAATGAGACATAATTTATGTTTATGTCCAACCGGAGGAAAAAATATCCATTGCTTACTATTGCAACTTTTTTAAAGCGCTAGAAGATTTTACAAAGGAGAAGAGAGTGGAAGATCAAAGACAGTGGCCTCAAAGAAAACAGACTTTACTTTGAGAATTGGTAGCAAAAGGGAAAGTGAAGCCTATGAGGAAAGCAGTTAAGAGGAGTTAGACAGTATTATGAGCATCACTGGAAATTATCCCCGCGTGTAGAAAGGACGGGACGGTAGTAGGAGACCAGCTTGACTAATGAGATGTTCAGTGATCTCAAACACAAGAAGCTGGTTTTGTAGTGTTGCTTTGTGAATCAGATCAACACAATGATCTGGATTAAACCACAAAACAAAAACCCTTCTTTGTCCTTCCATTCCCCAGTGTTTGTTTTGTCCTTAAACTGAGTTGTTTCATTGACAGAGTGGATGGCATAGCCCTACAAACAACTGTATCGGCACTACTCAAGGAGTGGTGAGTTGATGTTCGGAGGTGAGAATCCCTTAGGTGAATCTTGCTGCCTCCAAGAATGATATGTTTAGAATACCTTCAGGAAGGACATATGGGGAGCCTTCATATTACTCTTCAGCACAACTCCAAGATGGGAGAAGACTGGCAAGGGAGCAGTGATTTGAAAAAGCCTCCGAGGTGGAACAGATCACAAAGACACGCATGAAATGTGCATCAACAACGTGACACTTGCAAAAAAGGCAGATGTTTTGGGCATATACAAAGCTAGGGATAAATCCTGAGGCGCATCACCTAGCGTTTTCCATCTCTTTAGCACTGGTAATGTGAATATGAGGCCTAGCAGTGGGCACTAGATGTCAAGAAAAATGTGAACCAGCTGGAGAGAGTTCAGAGGAGAACAACTGGAACATGTATCCATGAAGTCACCTGTGAGGAAAGATCACAAGAATTGGTGTTTTTTAACTGGTGGAAGACAGAGGAGACCCATGAAAGTTGCTAGCGTTGCATCATCTTTTTTTTAAATACACTTCAGGGATTCAATCTTTTATTTTTATCCTCCAGGAGTGGGAGAAATAATATGGGGTTGAAACCACAGGCTGTGGAGCTCTAGGTTAGTATCTCCAGCGGTGAAGATTTCAAAGTGCGAGAATAGATTGCCGTGGGATGGTGTGAAAAATTGTACTACTGGAGTTTTAAAATAGATTAAACCAGCAGCTGTCAAGACCGGTTTAGACATGGTAGATCCTCCCCGGGAGAAGGGGCCGGATGAGCAGGGCTCACCGGGTTCCTCCCGCAGCGACCCTGTGGGATTCAGGTTAGCAGTCTGGGGCCCTTAGAAGCACAGATGTGGTCACAGTTCACCGAGTCTGGCCATTGCCAACGTTCCTCAGCAATGCGTTTTTGTAGGGTCGTCGTTTCCCCCCCCCCCCTTTTCCTGCTTTTGCTGTTGAGCAAAACTAAAACTCTTGTTTTGGGAGGAGACCTTTCTGGTTTACTTTTAGCCAACCAAAGTTTTCTTGTTGATTAATAACAAGCCTTCAGTTCGTCTACATCGTGTGCCCTACCGGCAGAAACATGTACTTTTAAATAACTGGTAGTGACCGTGTGATTGTAACGTGGAGTCACACCTTCTGCGAGACCAGGAATAAGGACCTCTCTCTGCAAACACCGCTGCTTAGACGGTGAGTCTCCAAACCGCCTAGACTAACTCTTGGTACACCTTTTATCTCGTTGAAGTGCGTCAGAAACGCCCTAAGCCCTAAGGGAGATAGCGCTTCTCTCTCTTTTGGAGATGGAGAAAGGAGAGTCAAGGTTATTTCTTCCCCCGACAGTG